CTAAGCGAGACATGCAAAATATGCAGAGCTGGGGGGCGCGAGGACAGGAATTAGGAACCGCTGGGCTGCATCATGCGTCATTCACCAATGAGAAAACTTCAAAAGTACTACAATATCAGGAAGGAAGATCGGGTTGTTGATGTTTGTCTGCCATTCTCACTCTGTCTGCACAGCATGAACGCGCTGATGATGTGTCCTGTCAGCGCGAACAGGGTGCGCAGAGGTATGCTAATACATACCTTGACAGGCAGGTAGGAAAGCTTATTAAAACGCTCGGACCGAGCGTTTTGATTGGACGAACATTTCTTGGCCCTACGCCTTCCACAGAATATATAAATACAGATGAATACATTTAGACCACTTAACTTAATGATTGCTATCAGGATGTGAAGAGACTTTCAACCAGCATAACAAAAAATGTTTCTGAAGACAATCACCTATTACACCTTTAATTTAATGTGTGAATGTTTTTATCGTTGCAGTTCCCTTTAAAAGCGCGTGCTGTCGCTCCTGTCTCCAAATGCGAAATTACGAATCCTACCACGGAAAAGGCTGCTCATAAATATTAATTAGGTTGCTTGGTAACCTTCCTGGAGCGCCCATTTACGCAATCTCATTCATATTAACGAGACGTCATTATAACATCAGACATTGGCCAGCAACCTACCAACGTGTTGCGTTCAACAAATCACATCTCGTCACCTAATTAATATTCATAAGCCAAGCCTTCGCCGTAGTAGAATTAATACAGTCGCGCACCGGTGAGGCGCATGCGCACTACGCACTGGGCTGTCTGAAGAAGTGCGTTTCCTTTTCAAGGGCCTGTATGTGTGTGTGTGTGTGTGTGTGTAAAAGACAGCTGTAGCCCCTGGGTGTGCTGCGCTTCCGTAACGCTTAAAAACTGCTCACTTCAGGCGGCTTACCGTTTAGCGACTTCTCCGGTCTGTGAAACGCTGCAACAGTTGCGTTTTTTAAGCCGAACCGTTTGTTTCCTCGCGCGTTGTGATTTTAAAATTGAAGCGTATTCTGTCGCCGCTGTCTTAACGGTTTTTGGGGTTATATTTGTACGCACGGACGAGCCGATCATCTTTTGTCTGCATTGATGTTAAAGGAAAGCTCTCCGGAAGATCTATTTTGCTGAATGTGTGAATGACCACTTGTATAACGTTATCTTCTGTTGATACAATCTAGTGGGTTTGACCCACACATGGACTAAGTGGACAAGTCTAAAACATCTCAACTTTAAAGCGTTTGGACACCAAGGGCTGATCATCTACAGAACACATAGGTACTGTTATGTCTTATGTATTATTGTGCCAATTTGATCTGCTTCTTTCATCCTTCTGCATGTCTAAGAATGGGCGCATTGTGTTTTTGAATCTGAATGCGATGGTCTGCTTCCCAGCTGTCCAAATAAGAGCCACTTGAGGCTCCTGCATGAGACAAAACGTGTCTTGGAGGTCCATCATGATTTGTTAATCATCTTAAAGCATGTGTGCCAGATGCATTGTAAAATGCATTGGATGGTGCATAATGGACTAGTCTCAGTTTGAGACGTGTTGTCTCATTGCCAGTCCTGATTGGATCAGCAGTGCTGTTCTCCATCAGCATCATTCTGGGACTGTTATGTTGTCATGGTTTCGTGAGTGTTTAATAACATCTGAATGTGGGACTGGTCTGTAAATAACTGAAATGGGGTTTTGGTGGCAGACACTCATTTTTTGGGCTGTTATGAACGCCTGTGTAGCATAAAATGATACACTTATTTACTAGTAAACACATACAGCTCAGTCACTTGTAACCAATCCTAGAATGGTTACATGATATTTGAAGGAGAAAAAAATCCTATGTTGAAAGGGCAGTTATTCAAATCCTAGTAGAAAGGCCTCAGTGTTTTTTTTTGTTGTTTTTTTGCCTTCATTAATATTAATGAGATGGATTTAGAAAGGTTGAAATCCAAAGGTCACTTCCTCCTGCTAAAGAGCAGATTTTAAAGGACCAGTTCCCCAAATTATTACGGTCATGTTTCAAACCTTCTTTATTATTTTTTTATTGTTATATATATAT